GCTCCCCCCAACCCCCAGGCTGGTGGCCCTGGCCCCTCCGTGGAAGTCTGGGCAGAGATGCCGCCTCCAGCGGAGAGGCCCCGGGAGGCCGGGCGGGCCTTGCCGGAGATCTCACGTGCATGTGCAAAGCGCCTTGGCTTGTGGGCTTGCCTTGGATTGGGGCGGGGGTCCTCCCTTCCTGACCCCCCCCCCGCCCGCACCAGGAATCAGACGCAGGGCTCGGCTTTCATGGGCGCAGGTAGGATGCCTGTTGAGGCAGTGTGGACCCGTTCCCGGAGGAATTTATGGGGGATCGAGCCCCGTTTGAATGTCAGAATGCCAGCTTCCCGGTTGGCACACGCAGCATATGATTTTCTGGTCTTGTTAGAGTGGAGAAGAGCAGCAGAGGCTCTCATTTATACCATCCCATCTCTCTTTTGAAGTACACGAGGGGACTCAGATATAGGAAATGCGACCCCCCCGGGGGGGGGAGGAGGTCTCCCATCCCCTTTCCTCCCTGCAAATGCCTTTGACCAGCTTCCAAGGTGGCTTCAGTGGGGAGAGGAGGTTGTACGTGGCAGGCCTTTTTCTCACCAGTAACGCTTGATATTGATCCCTTCCTTAGTATTATGAACTTTTATACATAACATACTTCTAGTATGAAGGCTGTTGTCTGTATTGGAGAGTGAATAAGCTGAGCAATCTGTGCGGCTTGCACTTTTGTGGAGGGCTCAATTATTTTTGGGGGGAACCCTGGGAAGGGGCAAAATGGATAGAGGTGAGCAAACACGCACATGCGTGTCATTATCTGGAAAAAGAGTTGAAATGGCCGGTTCTAAACAGCTACTCTTGTTTTGATCAGAGTCCATGTTGGAAAGCATACTTAACATGCCCTCCTTATGGCACTTTTCACCTTCATATGGTCCAGATCTTCCTTTGGCCAGCGTGCCTAAGAGACCAACGCAGTCAAAATCATCTGTTTGCCATCTCAAGGACCATCGCTGAGAGATAATTTCCAGTGTGAAGGTTCTGGCTATGGAAGAGATCGCAGGAGTGAGTACATCCATTTTCCATCTCTCTCTTCATGCAAACGGCGGCTTGATGGCCTGTGGCAGAGTAGTTCCCCTGAAGCCTTCCTCAGGCAAGAGCCGCCTGAGAAAATCCTTCCCTTCGGTTCTCAGTCTGCATGCAGTTTTACCAATCTTGTTGACATGGTTCCTTTTTTGATGGGGGTAATCCCTCTGCGTGAAGTTTAGGAGCGCAGTGTTGAGCACCAAGTCATTTGGTGGGGTAGAGGCCAACGTTCTTCCCCTGTTTTCCCCCATGCAGTAGACGGTCCGCATCAGAGGTCCCCGAGAAGAGTCTCAGACCAAGGCCACGTCTCTTGTCTGCAGCTGGGGTTGACTGCTCCAGGACCCCGAAGACAACGAACGTGCACTTGATATCCCCGAGCGTTCGTCAGAGAAACAACGAGCATCAGACAGTGATCGACGACATGATCTCTGCTGGAGATGGGGAGCGGCAGACCGATTCACGCAAAGTACGTGTCTGATGTGCTGCTGCCAAAGACCTTGGCAGCAGAATTGTTTCTGCGGACGCAGCCCGTGTGAGGAAGATGCCCCCCGGCACCTCCCTTAAACCTTTCCCGTTGACATGGCCGACGTAGCATCCTTTTAATAGTGACTTGGGTGGGGATAGGTTCCCTGGTGCACCTGCTGAAGCTGCTGTCACTCCTTCCGTGCACCGTGTCCCGGGTGGTAGAAGGAGGTCACCCCTCTAAATACAGAAACAGCTGTGCCAGAATCCTCTAGAGTGCCTTGGGCGCAGCCCCACGCGTGTGCAGGCAGGAAGAGGGCCTACAACACCCACGGTTCCGCAGCGGGCTGGGGAATCACGTGTGGCTCAACATGCGTAGGCTTCCACTGTGCTTCATTTTCCTCGCCCTTCGTGATCCTGCTCCACCGCTGTCCAGCCTGTGATTTTGAGCCACCTGTGCTGATGACGACTGGACAATAATAAGCACCCCTCTTACGTTTTGACCTTTCAGGGAGATGCTGGCAGTCCCGTCATTCGTGAGGCCGATGCCGGGAAGGAGCTGCGTGGGACCGTCAGCGGGGCGCTAGCTGTGCCGAGAAGGAGAAACCCGCAGTCTAAACGGGGGTGCCTCGGGTCGCATCGCACCTGAATGGAGTCCGAGACAGGACCCACCGCCCTCCTGGATGAACGTGGGGACTTCCTTTGCAGCCTGCTGAGCCACTCGTTGAAAGTGAGCAAATGAGCGTCACGGTGTGAAGCCTGCTCTGGAGCTGATTTTTCCTCGGTGGTT